ACAGAACGAGTGACGAATGGCGTGAGTAAAAATGTGAACATTGAAATGAATGCAGTAAGAAACACGACAAGTAGAGGAAGATTGGTTTTAAAGTCATTGTCTTTGCGTCCCTATAATATTATGGTACTTCTGCACTGGTAGACATTTACATTTTAGGAATAAAAATTTTCGATATTCATTTTATGATGTTTCATATTTCATATCGATCTGATCGTCATAAATTTCTACGCATTGCGGGTATGACAATGAACACAATTCGTTTCTGCATAAATTTAACTTTATTTATAAACATTTAACTTTATTTATAAACACTGAAATATTACGGTCCTTCGGCTTTGAGAAGGGATTACTAATGATAATTCAAAATTTTCGACATTCGATCTGTCAATATATAATGTCGATCTGATTGCCTTATAAATTTCTACGCATTTCTGGGATCACAATGGACAACATTCTTCTTTATATAAATATCATTCAACTTTATTTATTGACTCTGGAGTATTACTGTCCTCCGACAAATATAGGGGCATACATATGACGAATCAGTATTTTCGTCATACATTTTGACATTAAATTTTCTACGCATCGCGTGGTTCACAATGTATATCATTCCTTTCTACATAAACATAATCTAACTTTATACATCGACGTCCTCCGTTACTGATAGTGGCTTACATATGACGAACTTTCGACATACATTCTGTCAATATGTCATATCGAGCTGAGAGTCTTATTAAATTCCAGGCGTCACGCAGAACGCAATGAGAACCATTAGTTTCTACATACTATGTACCATCTAACCTTATTTAGCCCAGAAATATGGCGGACATCCGGCATTTTGATGAATATGCAATATGACGATTCAAAGCTTTCGGCATCCATTTCGTCAATATATTATATCAGTCTGATAGTCTTACATAATTCTACGAATCGCGGGAATCACAATGGACACCCTTCGTTTCTACATAAATATCATCTAAATTTATTATTCGACCCTGAAATATTACGGCTTTCAGGTCCTTGGAACCGCCTAAATGTGACGAATCAAAAATTACGACATTCATTCTGCCAATACATCATATCTATCAGATGGTATTGTATTATTTCTTGCATCGCGGTTATCTCAATGGAGACCACTTCTTTTTACATGAATATCATCCACTAGTATTCTTCGACACAGGAATAAAACCTCCGGAAATGATAGGGGCTTACATATTACGAATCAAAATTTAAGACATCCATTCTGTAATATATCATATCGACGTGACAGTTTTATGCTAGATAGATGCGTAGAAACGCATCACAATTAGCACCTTCCTTTTCTATATAAATATCATATAATTTCATTTATCGACCGTGAAATTTTACCGTCTTCCGTCATTGATGCACCAATTCTTTCGACAATCAAACTATTAGTATGACATTTCGATCTGATGGTACTACGTTATTCTTCCCATCGCGGATACCAGAACGAACATCTCACATTTCTTTATAAATATCACCTAAATATATTTATCGATTCTGAAATTTTAAGGTCCTCCGACACTGGGAGATGTTTACTTATGACGAATAAAAATTTTTGTCATTCATTCTACCAATATGTCATGTCGATTTGTTGGTCTTATTATTCTACGCATAGCGGGTATGACAACGAACACCATTCCTTTCTGCATAAATATCATCTAATTTTATCCATCGAGCCTGAAGTATTACGGTATTTCTGCACTGGTAGATGCTTACATTTGAGGAATAAAAATTTT